ATTCGCTGGGCCGTGCATTTGCTTCAGTGCAGCCTCCCGAGTCCGTGCCGCGGGGAAGGGGGAATTGCACATTCATATTGGCGAGGGTGGGGGCAAGAAAAATAACACCGGGAGCAAGGAGACATCCCTAAGCCTATTGCATTGCTGCAAATACAGGGTGGGAGGTTGAGACAGGGACAAGATCCCTTGTAACGAGGGAATCTCAAATCTTGCCCCTCTTTGTTTGGGATCGAGTCCAAAACGCGGCCTGCCTGGGCAATCCAGCATCAGGCACGGAAGATGATAGCATTTTAGATTTTGCCCATTTTAAAAATTAGAAATGTATGTGTTTTTGCACAATTATGCATTTATTTATCGGAGCAAAAAGCAGTTTCATTCATAGGCTGTATCATTATTCCCTCATGGACCCAAATATATTGCTGTAGAGATATAATAAAATTGTCTATTTTCAGCGTTAATCACGCATTTCCTCTCTTTAAAAAAAGCACAAACAGCTGTTGCTCACAAAGGGCTGGAAAGAGAGAGACTGACAAGAGGATAGTTTGAAGAAGGAAGGAAAGGCCAGATTTGCATGACCTTTGTACTCTCTCACAGGAGCATGTGATTCATGGGCAGTGCAGCCTTCAGACTTTAGTGAAAAAAATGTGTTCCAAAAATTGTGTTTGGTAATAAATAACAAATGTGGTATCAGCTGCTATTTAAGCTTCAAATGTTGGCAATGCAGCCCTCGTTGCTTCAGTGAGACGATACCTTAGCTCAAATATTTATTCTTAAGTAACTTCCTGAGGGAGAATTTCTGCATCTTTCTGCATATCTACAGTAATGGCACACAGGCTTGTTTGCAAATGAAGGTATAGTCGGCAGACGTGTATCAGAGTACAGAAAGAAAAGCGATACACCTGATTTGCTTTGTCAAAGTATAACATTTTAAAAATGTAATAAAACCAAAACAACTGCGGATGCTGTAAATCAGAAACAACAAAAAAACAGAAATTGCTGGAAAAGCTCAGCAGGTCTGGCAGGATCTGTGAAGAAAGAAATCGGAGTTAACATTTCGGGTCCAGTGACCCTTCCTCAGAACTTTTAAAAACATACCTGTGTCCGTCTCAGTTTAATCACCCGTCTCATGATACAATGCTGATGGGGCTATTGGATCAGACTCAATGAGTCCACAACAGGCCCAGATGTGAGGTGGGGAAAACCCCTGATGGGGGAAGAGATTTGGGAGCAGTAGACCCTTGAGCGTTGTGAGATGAGGAGCATAGAAATAGGAGCTGCTGTAGGCCATTTGACTCATTCCTGCCCTACATTTCAACCAGATCATAGCTGATCACAGAACTGAGGAAGACCATTCGGGCCATTATGCCTGCACTGGCTTTTCAAATGAGCATCATTCCCGAGTGCAAGTTTCCTGCTTTTCTCCATGCCATTGCACACTGTTGTTCTCCAAATAGTCATCCGTCGTCCTCCTGAATGCCTCAATTGATCTTCCACCTTGGCTCCATTTGTCCCATACACTTCCTGTATCCCTTGACATCTTTAACATCTAGAAATTTTATCAACTTCTGCCCTGGACGTACTCAAGGACTGAGCCTCCAGTGAGCGGTTAGGATCTCAAATGCAGTGCCTGAGAGTGTGGTGGAGGCAGATTCAATCGAGGATTTCAAAAGGGAATGGGACTGTTAGCAAAGATGGAATAGTGTGCGAGGAAAGGGTGGGGAGTGGCACAAAGTGAATTACACATTTGGAGGGCCAATACAGAGACAATAGGCTGAATGGATTCCTGCACTGAAGCTCTCTGTGATTTTGAATGAAGCCCAGTATTATGGGAAAGCACCAAGATTGGAAGGTAATAGAGGGGAGAACAGAGAAAACTGGGAGCCAGTGATTAGGCAATGCCAAGTACTGGCCATAAGTAAAGGGTCCTTAGTGTAGCAGGGAAATTCTGGTGGGAGGATATGTAGAAGTTCTTAAAAAGAAAGAAATTGTAATTATGGAACTCGTTTCGCAAACTCATGATTTTCCAAAAGGACTTTGCAGCCAGTGACATGGCTTTGGAATGAAGTCACTATTCTTCTGTCGGGAGTTGAGGCAGCTAATTTGCACACAGCAAGATCCCACAAATGGCTGTGTAATAATGACCAAATCCTTCATTTTAGCGAGAGGTAAATGTCAGCCCCAGAGCACTGGGGATAGTTCCCAGAGTGTCCTTAAACATAGCGCCACAGAACCTTTTTCCAAACATCTGTGAGCATAGACAGGGTCTCAGTTTAGTGTCTCCTCTCTCACACAGCACTGCCCATAGTTCCTCATTTCTCAGGTTACCAGCTCAAGCCTCTGGTGTTCGATTTGTACCCATGACCTCCTGACTCAGAGTTGAGGGTAACATCCACTGAACCACGACTGGTATTTCGCCAATGCTGCAGCTAATTGAAAATGTAATCTATTTTTGTAATTACATTGGGAAATATTTCGCCTGCTTTAAAGGCATTTACCAGTAAAAGAATCCCTTACTTAATTTACTTGAATGGCAAGGAAATTTCACACGGGCAACCATCCAGTACTTAAATCTTAGATGGACTTTTTAGTTTGACATCCAGTTGCACATTCGATTCAGTAGAGAAAGTCAATCTCCCACATAGATTTAAATTACCTGCAACATTTAACCTGGTTATTTCTATTTAACAATTACACATTTATAAATGTGAGTGACTTGTGTAGAAAGGTTTATTCATCTTTATTCGGGGTGTTGCCTTGCCTTTGTATAGGAAGAAATCACAGTGGGTCGTGTACTTTTGTAGAGTCGGGATCTGATTTTGTAAGGAAAATTGGGGGGCCATTTGTGAACACCATGATCCCACAGAGATTCTTGGCCGATAGGTTACGCAGATAGGAGTAGTGCCTCCAGCCAGTGTTTATGAATCCAGTGAGTTTACTTTGGGTTTGTTGATCAACGTGCGAAACCGGAGCATCAGGTACTAGTGGACAAACCTGTCAAGAATCCTCAATGTGAAAGTGACCAACCATTTGCCTTTTCATACTGTTATCCTTTATTCCTTTATTCATTCATGGGATGAGGGTGTCGCTGGCTAGGCAGCATTTATTGCCCATCCCTAATTGCCCAGAGGGCAGTTCAGAGTCAACGACATTGTTATGGGTCTGAAGTCACACGTAGGCCAGACCAGGTAAGGATGGCAGTTGCCTTCCCTAAAGGGCATTAGTGAACCAGATGGGTTTTTCCAACAATCAGCAATGGATTCATAGTAATCATTAGATCCTTAATTCCAGATATTGTATTGAATTCAAATTCCACCATCTGCCATGGTTACCTGGGTCTCTGGGTTAATAGTTCAGTGATAATACCAGTAGGCCATTGTCTCCCCGATCTGGTAATCCTCAACTCCACTAACTATTGCCTTCTTCCTATAATCCTTCATTCTTTTACTGATTAAAAATCTCTCTGACTCAGCCTTGAATACATTTAATGCTACAGATTCTACAGCTCTCTGCGGTAAAGAATTCCACAGATTCACTTCCATCTGAGAAAATAATCCATTCTCATCTCTGTCGTAAATGGGTGACCCCTTATTCTGAGATTATGCCTGTTGGTTCTAGACTCTCCCACAAGGGGAAACAACTTCTCCACCGTCTATCCTGAGAATCCTTAAGGTTTCAGTAAAGTTGCTTTTCATTCTTCTAAAGTCCAAAGAGAATAGGCCCAACCTACTCAAGCTGTCCCCATAAGACTGTCCTTCCTCGGTTCAACCTAGTGAGTGTTCTCCAGACTGTCTCCAAAACCAGTTTGTGTTCCCTTAGATAAGAGAGCCAAAAACATTTACAGTATTCTAGGTGTAATCTGAGTCATTCCTCGTATAATTTAGCAAGACCTGCCTATTTTTGTAGTCCATTACTTTTGAAATAATGATCAAGAATCCATTTTCCTTCCCAATTACCTACTGACTTGAATACTAACTTTTTGGTGATTTATGCAGTCCTCCATTTAAAAAATTCAGCTCCTGTATTCCTCCTGCCAAAACAAAAAGTGCACAATGTTCCACCTGCCAAGGTTTTGCCCGCTTGCGTAACGTCTCTGTATCCATCTGTAGACTCTGTGTGTCACCCTCACCGCTTGCCTTCCCACCTACTTTTGCATCATTCGCAAACTTGACTGCAGCACATTCACTTCCTTCATCCAAGTCGCTAATATACATTGTAAATAATGGTAGCCCTATCACTGATCCCTATGGCATTGTAATAATGACTGCAAAAAACACCCCTTATCTGTTTTCTATTAGTGAGTCAATCCTCCATCCATCAAAATATACTGCCCCCAGTACCATGGACTCTTATCTTATTAAATAGCCTAATGTGTGGCCTTATCAACACCTTCTGAAAATCCAAATAAATTACAACCGCTGCTTTCCATTTATTTCACTTGTTACCTCCTCAAAGGAAAGTTTTAGGGGGATAATGGCAAAATGCAGGCAAATTGGACAAGTTTAGTTTGGGAACCTTGGTCGCATGGATGAGTTGGACCGAAGGGCTTGTTTCCGTGCTGTCTCACTCTATGACTCTATGATTCTAATTCTCGTAAATTTGTTGAGCGTTATTTCCCGTTCATGAAGCCATGGTGACTCTGCTTGATCATATTATTCATTTTTAAACACTGTTACTATCTGCAGTGCATCCATGAACTCTGTTCCTACTTCTTCTGATATCCTAGTACGCAACCCATAAGGCCCAGGAGCCTTATTGGTCTTCAGTTCCATTAGTTTCCCTTGTACTTTTTCCTCTAGTGATAGTTAATATATTTATTTCCCCTCCCTCGCCTATTGTCCCCTGATTATTTAGTAAGTTTGGAATGTTATTAGTGTTTTCTACAATGAAGACTCCCCTGCTGGTTCCCCACTATTACCTCCCTAGCCTTGTTCTCTTAAGGGGCCTATGTACACTTTGGCCTTTCCCTTCCTTTTTATATACTTAAAGAAGCTTTCACTGTCCGTTTTTATATTAAGACCTTGGGGGTCCACATGCAGTAACCAGTTCTGGAACCGAAATTGTATGAATTTCAGTGCCAAGTGGTTTGCTGTTTAACCCAATGATTAACTGATCGAATCAAACAGCCTGTTCTTTTGTTTGTGTGTAACAGACAGAGTATAGACTGTATCCACACAGCCCACGCTTGCAAAATGCAAAGCAAAATGACTCCTGTCAGTTGTCACTCCAGAATTGGGTAGCATTTGCTGAGCAATTCCAACTGCTAACAGTTAGTAGCAACCAATTCAAGATAATCAGATAAAATGAACTTGTAACGTGGCTCATTTACCCTTGCACTTTCATAATCAGGAACCAATTCTCTGCAAACAAAAGCAATTGGCCTTTTTGAATTATTGTAGGAGATTGATGAGCTTATAGTTCCCTGTTGCTCTCTCCATAGCAGTGTTTTGGTCAGTTGGTGGTGCAGTGGTAATGCCACTGGACTAGTAATCTAGTAGGCCCAGATTACTCACTGAGAATGTGAGTTCAAATCCTGACAGGGTTTAAATTCAATTAATTAAGTCTACAATAGAAAGGTGGTCTCAGTAATTATGACCATGATATTGTATTGTTGGAAAACCCATTGGTTTTGTGAATGTCCTTTAGGAATATAAATCTGTTGTGCTTACATGGACTGGCTTACATGTGACTCCAGATACACTGAAACTGTCAGTTCAAAGGCAGTTAAGGATGGGTAACAAGTGCTAGCCTTGCCAGTGATGGCCACATTTCACGAAAGAATAAAAATAAAAGCTTTCCAACCAGTTAGCACCCTATTCTGCTATTGTGTAAATTGATGTGATCATTTGTAGTTTGGCATTCTTTCTTTTTTGTCTTGATGAGTGCAGGACACAAAGCGTTGCAACATGTACAAAACCAAAGTTGCTGGAAAAGCTCAGCAGGTCTGGCAGCAACTGTGAAGGAGAAAACAGAGTTAACGTTTCGGGTCCGGTGACCCTTCCTCAGAACATGAAGGGTCACCAGACCCGAAACGTTACCGCTGTTCTTTTCCTTCACAGATGCTGCCAGACCTGCTGAGCTTTTCCAGCAACTTTGGTTTTTGTTCCTGATTTACAGCATCCGCAGTTCTTTTGGTTTTTATTTCGTTGGCAACATGTCTTTGCTTTTTACAACACTCAGGCTTTCTACTGCCGTGTGATTGTTTACAAGTGACTGTAGTTTGTGCTGCTAGTTAGTTCCGTCTCCTGTTAGTTTTTGGTTCACATTCGAGTCATTTGGTCACACACTTTTGGCCTGATACTTTTGAAAGAAGATGTGGAACCTAAGAGATGGGTCTTCCCTCTTCACTGCTCCAAGTGAAAGACTGGTTTGAAAAAAAATCAAACTAAATAATCTACTTTGCATTTCCTAAGGTCCAGACCTGCGAATGAGAAGAGTGGGCAGCACGGTTGCTCAGTGGCAGCAGTGGTTAGCACTGCTGCCTCACAGCGCCAGGAACCTGGGTTCAATTTCACCCTTGGGCAACTGTCTGTGCGGAGTTTGTACATTCTCCCCGTGTCTGCGTGGGTTTCCTCCAGGTTCTCTGGTTTCCTCCCACAGTCCAAAGATGTGCAGGCTCGGTGGATTGGCCATGCTAAATTGCCTGTGGTGTTCAGGGATGTGGAGATTAGGTGGGTTATAAGGGGATGGGTCTGGGTGGGCTGCTGTGAGGGTCGGTATGGATTTGTTGGGCCAAAGGGCCTGTTTCCACACTGTAGGGATTTGATGAGTAAAGCCACTATTCCACTAAGCAATGGTGAAATGATGGCGTGAGAAGTCCGTGGTATCCTGTCAGTTGTTAGCATTAGGGACATCTTGAAGGAAATTTCTCTTTCTTTCTTTCTCTCTCTCGCTTCCCCTTCCTTCATCCAGCCTTTGAAAAAAAATTGAAGAGTGAAATACTGCCAGTGTTGGACATATCATAAAAATGGTGGCAATGCTCAACCGGTAGATGGAGAGAGAAAGGAAGTTTGATGACAGCTCACTGACCTGAAACTAGGCCCATCTCCTCTCTCCATCGATGCAGCTGAGTATTTCTAGCATTTTCTTATTTTCTTCCAATAGATAATCCCAAGTGGCTGTTGGGAAGATTTAGAGGAGCTGACAAGGATAAAAGGTAAAGCTCTTATTGAAAAGCAAAGCTGAGATTCTATTTTCCTTTAGGTAAACAAGCAGGATCGACGAGGTCTCTTGTGGTGTTGTGGTAATGTCCCTACCTCTGAGACAGGAGGCCTGGGATCAAATCCCACCTGCCCCAGGGATGTGTCATAACATCTCAGAGCAGTTGATATAAAAATTTAAGGGTAAAAACAGATTCAGCGATTCGGGGCAGAGGTTGAGACTTAAAGCTAGATTTTCCAAGGCTTCTGATCCTATAACTTGTGCCAACTGTGTCTCAGGTCCAGTTGGTACCAAGAGCTCTCGGGTAATTTACCTGCAAGCCTCCATCTGTGGGTGTGGCCCCGTAGCTGTGCAATATCTTCATGGTCTGATTTGTTTCCCACCCCTCCAGGTTCACAATCTTCAGGAGTTGCGGCAGAGTGCCTCGTTGGCAACAAAAGTCTTCATCCAGCGAGACTACACAGATGGCATCCTGTGCCAATTTCAAACCAAGTTTCCGCCAGAGTTGGAGAGTCGGGTATGTTAATATTTTCATTTTCCTTTTGCAGAGGCCTCTATTAGTGGCCTTCTCCAGTGGTCCCCTGCATCACAGATGTCAGTTTTCAGCCAATCCAGTTCACCCTCTGTGATACCAAACAACAATTGGAGACATTGGATACTGAAAAAGCTACAACATTCTGGCAATAGTACTGAAAACTTGTGCTCCAGAACTTGCCGCTCCCCTAGCCAAGGCTGTCCCAGTAAGTTACAACACTGGTATCTACCCGACATTGTGGAAAATTGCCCAGGTATGTCCTGTACACAAAAAGCAGGACAAATCCAACCCGGCCAATTACTGCCCCATCGGCCTACTCTCGATCGTCACTGATGGAAAGTGTCATCGACAGTGCTATCAAGCAGCACCTGCTCAGCAATAACCTGCTCAGTGACAGTTTGGCTTCCACCAGGGCAACCCAGCTCCTGACCTCACTACAGCCTTGGTTCAAACATGGGCAAAAGAGCTGAATTCCAGAGGTGAGGTGAGGGTGACAGTCCTTGACATCAAGGCTGCATTCTACCGAGTGTGGCATCAAGGAGCCTCAGGGAAACTGGAATCAGTGGGTATCAGGGGCAAACTCTCCAATGGTTGGAGTCATAACTGATGCAGAGGAAGATGGTTGTGATTATTGGTCGTCAATCATCTCAGCTCCAGGACATCTCTGTAGGAGTTCCTCAGGATAATGGTCTAGGCCCAACCATCTTCAGCTGCTCCATCAATGACCTTCCCTCCATTGTAAGGCCAGAAGTGGGATGTTCACTGAAAAAACAAATTAATGATTGTTCCATTGCGAAGTGTAAAAGGATAGAAGCTCAAATTGTAGTTCTGAGTGTGTTGAATGCTGGCGGAGAAAAATTCCGTTTACATCTTTGTACTGAAGTCTTTGCAATGACAACACTTGTGTTCCATTTCAGTGCAGAGAACTGGGTAATGTTGAGCAGAGACAGGCTGGCTATCTAAGGGAAACAAAGAAAGTTAGCATGTTGTTGCTAGACTAGTCAACCAGAACATAGGTAATGTTCTTTGGATATGGGTTTGAATCCCACCTAGGCAGATGGTGGAACTTGAATGCAATAAAGAAGGATCTGGAATTAACTGATGACCACAAATACACTGTTGCTTGTCAAAAAAAAAGCATCTGGTTCATTTAGGGAAGGAAATCTTCTCTTACCTGGTCTGGCTGACATTCATTCCAAATCCACAGCAATGAGGTTGACTGTGAATTGCCATCCTGAATGGCTTAACAAGCCATCCTAACTAGGTCTTACTGAGTTCTGTTGGAGGACTGATCCCTATTATTGGCCCTCTGTCTAATTCCTGGTCTCTGCTTGGGTAACTAGTCATCACTGCAGGATTGTGGGTGAAATTGGATCCTGTCCCTTGGCCCAGATTGGGGTGTGGAGGGAAAAGGGGGTTGCAAATTGTTGAGCTTAGAAGATTAAGAGATGATTTGATTGAGGGGTGTGGATTATGAAGTAATCTGATACAGTCAATAGACAGACACTATTTCCTGTGATGTGGGTGTCAGGAACACGGAAGGTATGTAACCATAAAGCCCTGTAGAGGTGGGCAAAGTCTAACCCTCAACAGATCACCCCCTAAACACATTCACCATCCCACCATCTTCCACGGCCCACAGCAACTGACCTATGCACCCCACTTCCAAAGGAGCTACGTTGAGTGGTTTCAGCTAATGGGAATTCTGGATTCCTCTGGCCCAAGAACTGGATTACGGAATGAAAGCCGAAAGAACTACGGATGCTGTAAATCAGAAACAAAAACAGAAGTTGCTGGAAAAGCTCAGTAGGTCTAGGCAGCACCTGTGAAGAGAAATCAGAGTTAACGTTTCGGGTCTGGTGACCTTTCCACAGAACAGGGTCACCGGACCTGAAACGTTAACTCTGATTTCTCTTCACAGAAGCTGCCAGACCTGCTGAGACTTTTCAGCAACTGGATTACAGAGTTGCGCAGTTTCAACCCTCCTCAGAAATCATCTACCTGAGCCAAATAGACGTCCTGATCCATCCAACACCCCCAACCTCCTCCTGCTCCTCCCAAAACCAGGCAAATCGCGGGGGTCACACAAGGACCCCCGCTCGCTCTACTATCCCAATCTGTCTTTTCTGTTTCCCGCATGACCTTGTACACAGCACATTTCGGGAGCTGTCACATTGATTTTGCTCCTTCCAACTTTGAAATTGTGCACCTTGGGTTGACCTCATAGTGACTGGTGTCCCTCTGAAGGTGGTGACCCTCCCATGTTGTATGATGATGACTGCCTGAATCCAGGATTCAAAGCATTGCACATCGGGTCAGAATTAATCAGCCTGAAAGCAAATCACAAAACCGTACTGACTAATTGCAACTTTCTCAGTGCTGGAGGAGCTAATGGATCCCTTACTGAGATCATAAACTTCAAAGCTACGAAGGTCCTTGGTTTTACTGCCAAGTTCTGCTACGACAGACCTCTGTTTAATCATCACTTTGGTCACTAATTTGCCTCGATGTTTGCGTTGGAAAATTTCACATCCGGTTGCCACTGATTCTGCCCTGTAATACTCCCCACAAAGCTTGGCACAAACCTAAAGGGAGAAGCTTTTAAAAACCACTTTGTTCATTACTCCCAAGCTGTGTCATTAAGTTGGAGAATTGTGCTGTTACAAACATTTTAGACTTGCTGAACAGTTAATTTGCTTCAGTTTGTTTTTGTTTTAAATACTCTCAATAGGAGGCAGGAATCGTGGCTGGGTTTCCTTTCTGAACTGCGGCTGAAAGACTCTGAAATTGATGAGTGAGTTATTAATCCAATAACACAACCTCTGCATTACCACGGCACAATGGAATGAGCTAAATAGGTCTAATGTCCTGTAAATTCTTATCTTCCAAATACCCTGAGTGGTGGTCCAGAAAGAACTAATAGTGTAGAGGCTTAGCTGATGTTTAAAGTTCGTTTATGAGCTGTAGGCTTTGCTGACTGAGTTAGCATTTATTACCCATCCCTAATTGCCCTTGCATAAGTGGTGGTGAGAGTCCAACTTCAGTGGGTAACAAGGAAAGCAAATGGACTGTTGGCATTTACTTCATAGGGACTGACATGTAAAAATAGGGAGATCTTGCTAAAATTATACAAGGCACTAGCCAGATCACAGAATACTGTGATAATTTTTCGTCCACTTATCTAAGGAATGATTGGAGATAGTCCAGAGAAGGTTCACCAGACTGATCCTGGGTATGGAGGGACTGTCTTATGAGGAGGGGTTGATTGGCTGGGCCTGTACTCATTGGAATTTCAAAGAATAAGAAGTGACCTTATTGAAACAGACAAGATTCTGAGGGGACTTGACAGGGTCAATGTGGAAATTAGCTGTGGGAGAGTCGGGGACTAAAGGGCATCATCTTAACATTTAAGATAAGATCAACTTAACATTTAAGACAGAGCTGAAGAGGATTTTCTTCTCTTAGGGTAATGAATTTGTGGAATTCTTTACCACAGAGGACTGTTGAAACTGGATTGTTAGGCCGAGAGGGAGAGATTTCTAATCAGTGAGGGTCGGCACGATGGCTCAGTGGTTCGCACTGCTGCCTCACAGCGCCAGGGACCCGGGTTGGATTCCACCCTCGGGTGGAGAGTTTGCACATTCTCCCTGTGTCTGCTTGGGTTTCCTCTGGGTGCCCCAGTTTCCTCCCACAGTCCAAAGGTCTGCAGGGTAGGTGGACTGGCCATGGGAAATTGTCCCGTAGCATCCAGGGATGTGCAGGCTAGGTGGGTTAGCTATGGGAAATGCATGGGCACAGGGTGGGGGAGTGGGTCTGGGTAGGATGCTGTTCGGAGGGTTGGTGTGGATTCGATAGGCCGAATAGCCTGCTCCCACACTATAGGGATTCTATGTTCTGTGACGCCAGGGTTAGGGGAATAAGCGAAGAAAGTGGATTTGGGAATCATCAGATCAGCCATGATCTCACTAAATGGCAGAGCAGGCTGAATGGCCTATTTCTGCACCTACATCATCTGGTTCTTCATGAACAGCTGCAGTCTGTATATTGATCTAGAGTGATAGGTTCATATCTGATGAGGAAATTTGATTTAATAACTGAAAATAAAAAGCTAGATTCTGTAATGACGGCTGTGGAAACACTGGACTGTTGGAATATCACATCTATGTTTGCTATTGGCCGGTAGGACAGGTAAAATTCTCTCCTTAATCCAATCCTTATGTGACTCCGGTCCCCAGCAATATGGCTGCCTTTTAACTGCCCTCCGAAACAGCCCAGCAAACCATTCCATTGTATTCAGGAAAGTGGTCAACTTCTCACTGTGGGCAAGTAAGCATGGACAATAAATTCGCTCAGTGAATTTAAAGTCAATCGTGAGGTGCAGATCGGAGGAGCTGCACGTATTTTGTGAGGCGCGGATCGGAGGAGCT